ACTAATGAGTTACAACGAATTCCTCACTCAAGTTTGTCATAAACCCCGTCAAGTTAATAATCAAATTAAAAATACACGTTCTCTTATCAAAATTCAGCGTAAATCATGAATTCACAAGAAGATATCAATTACCAGTTAAAGGAAAACTTTATATTTTTTCTGGATATTTTGAAGCAACCCGAAGAAGTGTTCGATTGTCGCTCACGTGAATACAAATTGGTCAGGGCGTGGCTGGATAAATTGGCAATGGGCTCATTTGAAACGACCGATGAGCTGCGACAGCGTAACATTTGTATGAGTCATCTTTTGGTTTGTTTGAACAATGGCAAGCTGACGGGACCGTTCCTTGCTCCACCAAAACAGGAACAATTTCTTGATATCGATTTCGAAGGTAAAGCGAAGCAAAAACGCGTCTGTCCGCGGCCACTGACTGGTATGAAAGCGCCTGAAAAGGCCTGCCTCGTAGCGGAGACACGCGGGCCATGTGAATGTGACTTTGTGTGTTGCGATGGAGACGATGATCGGCGGAATGAGAAGAAAGCTTGCAGCAACACCACCGGATCGTCATTCGATCTCATTTGTGGCTATATGACGCAATATGTGAATATACCCGCTTGCCTAAAGGAAAGCCTAGATGCAAGCTTGCCTTCTATATTGCACCTACATACAGCGCCATATCACCCAAAGGAGGGAGCTACTGCTACTGCTGCTGGCTGCAAGACGACGACAACAGAGCCATCATCGTCCAATTATGGTAAAGTTGTTGATTCGTATGAAAAATGTACGGACTGCTGTGCTGGCAGCCGCCTACACATGGGTAGCGGTAAGAGTGTTGGCGACAATAGCACCGCACGTACGCTCTGCAATCAACAAGTGGAATCTGATCAGCAAGAAATGTATGGATGCATAGCGACACTCCTGAAGGCCATTGCGTCCGAGCTCCGTGGTGAGCAGACACCTGGTAGCAATGATTTCCTCGAATATGAGCTGGCGCGCTATAAGAACTTCATAAAGAACTACTCACATTTGGCTGGCAACATGTTTAAGCTGCAAGACCGGCCGATATTGCGTCCGTTTTTGTTGCTGAACTTGCAAAACGATTTGGTAAAGTTGCTCCCAGCGAATATGAAGCGGGCTTTCGGTTTCGGTTGAGCACACTTGTTGAAGTGGGTTTACGTGGTCGCCATCGCTCAGCCAGCTGAGTATTTCGTGCAATTCTTCAAGCTATGTGTGTTTTATATGTATATGTTTGTGTTAGTTTTTTTCAGATCACAGTTTAAGTTTGTAAATAACAAGAAACGTACGGCTATTAACATAAAATGTTTCTAACTTCTATTACGGTCTTTATTGTGTTCAAGTTAGCTGGAATTTACCACAGCGGTTAGTNTAACAAGAAACGTACGGCTATTAACATAAAATGTTTCTAACTTCTATTACGGTCTTTATTGTGTTCAAGTTAGCTGGAATTTACCACAGCGGTTAGTAGCTATTCCACGCTACTAGAAGATATAGAGGCTTCCTCTCTCCCACAGAGGCTCAGACAGTGGTAGGGTCCTTTCCCCGCTACTGTTTAACTTTTATATTTCAAAGCTCCCTCAACCACCAGAGGNAGAGACAAAACGAGTAAGCAGCGAAAAATAAAACAGGGGGTTCCTCAGGGTGGTGTCCTTTCCCCGCTACTGTTTAACTTTTATATTTCAAAGCTCCCTCAACCACCAGAGGGAGCCTCGATTGTCTCTTACGCCGACGATTGCTCGATCATGGCGACTGGAAATGGAATTGATTACTTGTGTTCGAAAGTAAACGGGTATCTCTCCGAGCTTTCTCGCTTCTTCTCTGCAAAGAGCCTAGCCCTATCCCCTGCGAAATCTTCTGCGACCTTGTTCACCATCTGGACGATGGAGGTCAGGCTACCACTGGGAATTCACGTCGATGATACACCAATTCAGACGGTGAATAATCCCAAAATTCTCGGAGTAACCTTCANAGGCTACCGCTGGGGATTCACGTCGATGACACACCAATTCCGACGGTGAATAACCCCAAAATACTCGGAGTAACATTCGACAGCCTGCTCTCCTTCTCTGCGCACGCAACCGCTATTGTCAATAAAGTACAGAGCCGCAACAAGGTCCTCAAGTCGCTAGCCGGCAGTACTTGGGGCAAAGACAAAGAAACGTTGCTGGCAACATACAAGGCAATAGGCCGGCCGGTTTTAAATTACGCAGCACCAGTGTGGTCGCCGGGGACTAGCAGGACTCAGTGGATGAAGCTACAGACGACACAAAACACTGCACTTAGGACAGCGACTGGATGCCTTCTGGTGTCGACGGAATACCACCTGCACGAAGAGGCGAAGATGCTCCCCATTAAGGAGCATAACACAATGCTCTGCAAGCAGTTTCTGGTTGGGAGCCGTAGACGTGGCCACCCAAATAGACAACTGCTTGCAGAAGAGCCCTCGCCCAGGCACGTCAGGAGGCATCTCTCTAATTTGGAAAA